TAATCAGCTGTTCATCAGAATAAGTAAACTACTTTAATAGTTTGTTACAGAAGCACTTGCTTTTTTCTTTTCCTTTTTTTTTTTTTTTTTGAGATGACGCTCTCACCTCCTTGATGCCTAGGCTGGATGCAATGGCGCCACATGTCAGCCTCACTGCAAACCTGCCTCCTGGGTTCAAGCACTCTCTCTGCTCGCCATTCCGAGTGCTGGGCGATTACAGCATGCACCACCACGCCCAGTAATTTTTGTATTTTTAGTAAGAGACAGGGGTCTTCTCTACGTTGGTCAGGCATTGGTTCAGGCTCGGTCTCGACTCCCGACCTCGCGTGATTCGGGCCCCTTGCCTCCCAAAGTGCTGACAAATTACAGGGCATAGAGCCACTACGGCCTGGCTTGTACTTGTCTTTCTTTGGTGTCCACATTTAATGCTGTGTAGGCCCGCCAGTAAACCAAGATATTCCAAAAGGTTCAGCCAGACCTTTTTAAGCTAAAGGTAGGGAGCCACTGAAACGAATAATATTGAACAATACATAAACCAAACATGCACAGGAAAAGCTCTCTGTGTGGGTGCAGGGAATGATGCTGTAACTGTGTAAGAAATGGAAGAATGATCCCGGTGTGGCGGCAGACAAACTGTTCCAAGAGCTTCAACGTTCTCCGTAGGGGAAAGTGGTAGAGAAAACATGAGGAAGAGGAAGGGAGAACCAGGGAAGATTCTTTGGACCCTGCAGTCACACCCATCCTACATACCCACATGGACACCTTACCTCACAGTCAATGCTCCTCACCCCTCTAACGAGCTCGTGCCAGATGCGTAATCTCTCTCACCCCTCTACAGCTCTCCAGATGCCTATCCTCTCACCCCTCATACAGCAGTCTCCAGATGCTATCCTCTCACCCCTCTACACGCTCTCAGGTGCTATCCTCTCAACCCTCTACAGCGTCTCCAGAGTGCTATTTTCCTTTCATGTCCCAGTTGGCTTCATCGAATTCCATGAATCACATCCTTGCAACATCCAGACTATTCTGCTCCTTGTGCTCGCCAAAGAAATTCTCTTGATGCACAGGTTAAGTTCTTTTTCTTTTCTTTGATACGGAGTCTCCTGTGTCGCCCCGCTGGAATGCAGTGGCGTGATCGTCCAGCTCACTACAAGTTCCCGCCCTCGCGGTTCAGGAATTCTGCTACTCCTCCCGAGTAGCTCTGCGGTACAGGTGCCGCCACCCTGGCTAAATTCATTTTGTACTTTTAGTAGAGAACGGACAGGTTTCACCATTCATTGAGCCAAGCTGGCCTTGAACTCCCTGAGCTGGTGATACACCCACCTTGGACCTCCCAAGAGTGCTGCGATTACAGGCGTGAGCCACCATTGCCCAGCTGCAGAAGTTAAGTTCTACAAGTCAGCTTAGGGTGGAAAACTGGGACTGGATCATTGGAAATCCCAGAAATCACCCAAAAAATGATATTGTAATTGTGTATGTATAAACAAACTATGTTTTAATAGCATACTGAATATAATTTATATATAGTAAGAATAATTTTACAGTTTACATAGAACAACCTTCACTCAGCAAATTAACTGTAGGAAATGAGACTCTTGAGAAAAAAGCAGATACACTGTGGAGTTAGAATGCAAGCGCGAATCACCTGGTGCTACTAAATTTGTAACATTTCTCTTCTCTCAGTTATATAATTAACTGATAATCTCTGTTTTGTTTTGTTTTTGAGATAGAGTCTTGCTCTGTTGCTCAGGCTGGGAGTGCAATGGCACAATCTTGGTTCACTGCAACCTCCATCTCCCAGGTTCCAGTGATTCTCCTGCCTCAGCCTCCCAAGAAGCTGGTACTACAGGGCACCCACCACCAGCGTGCTGGCTAATTTTTTTTTGTATCTTTAGTAGAGATGGGGTTTACACATGGTTGCCAGGCTGGGTCTCGAACTCTGGACCTCAAGTGATCCACCCACCTTGGCCTTCCCAAGGATTACCAAGCATAAGCCACCGCACCTGGCCATAACTCCCTTTTTATAACTAATCATGTGCAGTCAAAACTGGGGCATTTTCTGAATCGGCTCCTCGACACTCTGTCGTCAGCGTCCCACAGGGTTCTTAGCTCCTGCACGTCAACTCCCCTCTCTCCTCGCCCCCCTCGCTGCTCTCCTGCCTCCCCCTCGCATGACCCGAGCCCAGGCTTGTCTGCCACTACTCACCTCCTTGCCCAGCGTCCGCTCCTCTTACCGTATCTTTGATTCAACTGCCTCCAATGTTCTTCAACTTCTCTGTTTTCCTTTTTCGTTCGCTCTCCTCTCTGTTTTTTTGAGGAGCTCTCTCGTCTTTTGCCCCCCAGGCACAGTGGCGCTCGAATCCTCGCTCACCGCAACCTCCTCTCCGGGTAAGCACTTTCTCGCCTCGCTCTGACGCTCGCTGGGCACTCCTCGCCGCGCCCTGTCTGCATGCCGGCTCATCTTGCTATTCTACGTGAACGCGTCTGTTGCCCATGCTCTCCTCCCAAGTAGCTGGGATTATAGGCGCCTGCCATTATGCCTGGCTAATTTTTGTATTCTTAGTAGAGGCAGGGTTTTGCCATGTTGGCCAGGCTGGTCTCGAACTCCTGACCTCAGGTGAACCACTCTCCTCGGCTTCCCAAAGTGCTAGGATTACAGGCATGAGCCACCATGCCCAGCCAATATGTTTCCAAATTCTTTAAAGGAGCAAACCCTGTCCTTCTCACATATTGAAGGCTTTCTGAAAAATACTAGACTCTATCTTGCCCTCCGGCCTCACGTCCCAGCATGCCACTGAACATTGACAAGGAAATATAAAAAAACCTCAGGAAGAAAATGGGCCAATATACTTTGTAATAACTGTAAAGAATACAAACGAATCTTTGGATATTGCTCTCCCACTAGAAACAGCCATTTCGCTGGCTGGGCATGGTGGCTCACACCTCTAATCCCAGCATTTTGAGAGGCCGAGGCGGGCGGGTCATGAGGTCAGGAGTTTGAGACCAGCCTGGCCAATATGGTGAAACCCTGTTTCTACTAAAAATACAAAAAGTAGCCAGGCATGGTGGCACACGCCTGTAGTTACAGCTACTTGGGAGGCTGAGGTGGGAGAATCGCTTGAACCCGGAAGGCGGAGGTTGCAGTGAGCTGAGATCGCGCCAGTGCACTCCAGCCTTGGCAACAGAGTGAGACTCAGTCTCAAAAGAAATAGCCATTTCTCTTACCTGCCAGTTTAGACTGTAAATTTCATAGGCATAGGAAAAACTTGCAGTACAATCCATAGTAGAAGGTAAAACACTGGAGAGAGAAATGTTTTTATAATGCCAGAAACAGTTACTACAAAATAAACTGTAGGGCCTCCAGGATATACGAAGTGTGGGGCACCTACAGTAATCTCTTTGGCACTGCAAAGGGGCTCCTAATCTTTATTTTTCTTACCATAAAAAGAAAAGACTCTCCTTACCCTAAAGTCAACATGCAACTTGTGATCTCGGCAGATGGGGCAGGGATTCCCAGCAACTTTATTCCCACGCTGTAGAGAGAAAAAAACCAGCAGTTAAGGATGTTCAAACCCGTCAGAAAAAGTGCTGCTGTTACTGTTACTTGTGGCCTCTACCCCTACTCCACATCCCACTCTCAGAAACTCACAATACATGTTTTCCGAGTCCGCTGTGGGGGTACACCACCCTTGTGGTTGCGGCGGTAGTCAGCCCAGACAGGGCGAGAACCATATCGCTCCTGGTATTCTGAAATGAAAGATCATACAAGTTATTCCTGGGTGGGAGTGTAGTGGGTGGCTCTATCCACTTATCTTAAATCCTATCTGACCCTCCCTTTCCCCATTTAGAGGTACCTTCTGATTCCAGATATTTCCAGGGTTCATCCTTATAAGGAGAAATGGGAACTGGGGACAAAGAATCTTCCTCAGAGGGAGGTTTGGTGCAAAGAGTCTGGAGGGGAACCTATAAAGGAGCAGAAAAAAATAAAAGAATGAGTTCAAGGAAAGAACTCAATGGTTTGCTTATCACATTTTGGAAAGAGGGGGAATGCATACATATTGCATTAATGGAATATAACAGGAATACATATGTAAGTTAAGTATTTTTGTTGGGTTTAAACTGACATAAATCAACAACCACACTCCTTTTCTACAACTGGATCCTGAAAGAAAAGCTAAGTTAGCAGATATATGCTGAAAAACAATCTTATTTCAGAAGACAATTAAAAAGTCTAGTACAAGGCCCAGCGCAGTGGCTCACGTCTGTAATCCCAGCACTTTGGGAGGCTGAGGCGGGCGGATCATGAGGTCAAGAGATCGAGATCATCCTGGCCAACATGGTGAAACCTCATCTCTACCAAAAATACAAAAAATTAGCTGGGCGTGGTGGCATGTGCCTGTAGTCCCAGCTACTCGGGAGGCTGAGGCAGGAGAATCGCTTGAACCCAGGAGGTGGAGGTTGCAGTGAGCCAAGATCGCACCACTGCACTCCAGCCTGGCAACAGAGTGAGACTCCATCTAAAGAAAAAAGAAAAAAAAAATCTAGTACATAAAAGGTAGTCCTGCTTTTTGGAAATGAATTGATTCTGGCGGAAGAATAAAGAGGAAGGATATCTAGGTTCTCGGAACCAAGATGTGTGGTGGGGAGGGGATGCTGAAGACAAGTGAGTCTCCAAATCAATCCAATGAAGTCACTGAGTTGCCCATTTTCATAAAAGCTGAAGGTCAACAATCTACAGGGCAGAACAAACTTGAGTCCTAACGCTAGTTTTAAAGCTACCAAGGCTGTTATTAAGTCTGTGTTGACCTCTGTCACCACTCTTCAGTTCCACTTTAGGGAGTGGCAGCTGGGCAAGCCTTTCTATCTCACCGTGCCCCACCAAGAACCTCCAGAGAGGTGAGTACACAAGACTGGAGGGAAACCTCAATTCAAAGGACGGAGTTAAGCTCTCATAACTCTGATAAGAAACTGATTTAATAAAGAGAGCTGAGAAACTGTCCTCAGGTCGTAAGAATATATCCTGACCTTACTGGGAAATAGCAAGGTGGGTAGAAATTAGGATCCCTAATTTCCCTAAGGACATTCCTGAGCAACACAGATTTAGACACGACCTGCACAGTTAAGAGCTGGTTGTGGCGCTCGCTTGGGGAGCACATATGTTACGCTAAAATTGCAACGATACAACATTAGCATGGCCCCTTAATTATTTAAATAATTTTCAAAAAGCTGGTTATGCATAACTGAGGGTGGACGGGGGTCAATTCTATCACTTAATTATTTTACTGAGATGGCATTTTGGAAGAAGGATGACACCTAACCCTGGGGCTTAGTCCTCGGCTCGGGATTAGAAAACGCGCGGTGTATGGGAGGGGATTGCTGGAAGTACTGCCTAGACAGCTAAGATATAAACACGTGGGAAGGTCTCCACTCGTGGATTCCTGACAGCGGAGCGACGACCTAGAGAAGGTATAACCAACTTGGTGTTGTGCAAAATGTCCTTCGAGAAGTTACCTGAACTCTGTGGGCACCTCGGAAGAGAGAAAGCATAGGAAGCCGCCTCAGCAGGGTGTTTAATACGGACGCCGCCATCTTGACGTACGCCCAGCACAGGAATGGAAGGAAAGGCAACTGCGCATGCTTCAGGAAACTGACTAGGGCAGGGCCAAGGACAAGCCCGCAGTGCGGAAGGCGGCCGCACGTTTGCGTCAGGACGGAAGCGTGAAAGGGAAGGGATGGGCGGAGAAGCTAATTTCAACTGCGTCACAATCGAATTAGACCTCAAAATTGCATTTTTTCTTGGCCAGTCACTACGACTCTTAGATCTCTTTGTTAGAGTTTGCCTTTTAAGCAATTTTGAAGGCGATTTTTATCGAGATCCTCTCAGTGCGCATGCTCCGGCACGTTTCTACCAACCCTGGGTGAGAAATGTTCTCCAGGGCGGAAGTGGCGGAAGCAGAGGAAAGGGAGGTGCTGGGCTCTCTGGTCACGCGCACGCAACAGGGAGGCAGAAAGGAGGCGGAAGAGAGTGCCGGGGAAGGGGCGGAGCAAAGGTGAAGTGAGACTAGCCAATCAGCTGGCGAATTGTCGTTTAGGTTGACCAATGAGTTCACGCCTCGCGTATAATGTCTCGCGACAAGGGCGTTTCACTAGCACGTTTGGGCGCGTTGGGCGGCGTCCGGGTATAAAAGACTCCACCCGAGCGGGCGGCCGCCATTCTGGGGTTCGTTTAGAGGTAAGTTTACCTACCTTGTTGTTTAGTGGGTAAAATTTTGCGGAGAGCGTTGGATCTGGGAAGCGGGGTAGGGATGGGTTCATTTGAGAGCCACGGCTTAAAGCGGCTGCGATCAGGATGGGACACAGAGGTTTGTTTGGGGACAGCAAAGATGGCATTTCTGGGTGTTTTGAAGCAACCCGTACTGATTACATCTTTCTCCCTTGTGTTCCTTTTATCCCAGGTTTGAATTTTCTCGGAGAAAGACAGGCCGACCACGAGGAAAACAGAAACAAGCCGCAGCAACATCTAAGCCCTTGAAAGGATCCTGAGAGAGGGGGGAAAGGGAAAACAGCAGCCACCAGCCCAACCACTTGTGTCTTCTGCCCCTTCCCACCTATCTTGCCCACCCCACCAGCCCACGCTGCTTGGGACTTGAAATCTGTGGCCGAAGGACCGTCACCACATAACTTGAAAAATAATCAACCACCCTCCCTTCCCAAACCACCCAAATTCACTCATCCAGCGTTTACTTTTTTGAATCCACTCAGAACTTTTTTCTGCGACCCCCCTCCCTAAATGGAGTTGGGTGGGGGGGGAAATGAATACTGAGTTGGCCTTTATTTTTTAAAAGACTTTTTGATCCAATGAGGCCCCCTAAATAATTGAGTTTTGGGTCCTGGTTGGTTGTTTTATTTTTTTTCCTCCAAAATTTTACCCCCTCCCCCCTGAGCCCGAGGTGCTGACGTCGCAAAAAAATTGGATAGTAAGTGTCGAATTTTCAAAAACCAGCCTTGCAACAAGAAGTCAACGTTTCCCGTTGTGAAACCAAAAATAATGAGAGGAAGAAATGAGACCATAGAACAAATAGAGAACTGGAGAAGGACCAATCTGGTCACTTAATCTCCATTAAAAAGGGCCTGTGGGTCTAAACAGTCTTGTTCTCTCTCCCCTACCACCTATCTCTTCCCTGCCCTGCTGCAGGCAAAGAGAGGGTGGAGGGAGGGCCAGCAAGTGAGGATTTTGATGGTTAACCCTTGGTAATCCAGCCAATTTCCAGACTGCCAAAGCCATACGTGTTTATATAAGGAGGAATGGTTACCTTCCTCTGGTTAGCAGCAGTCTTCGAAAGGGTTAATGAGCTCACATACAAGAGATGGTGGATCTTGTGGCCCAGAAGTACCACTTCTTTGTGTGTGAGACAAGCAGGGTGCCTTTCAATTTGCCAGATTAATAAGCAATCTGTACATAAAGATTGCAGGGTAAGGAGATGGGCAGAGAGAAATAATATCTCGCTATAGCTTTTTAAATGACTGTTAAATCCTCTCAATTTTAATGTAATTTGTTTGGGGTATATTTGTGTGGTTAAAATAGGTGGCAATCTAGGAATAAAGATTGCAAGACACTTAGGACAAAATATAATCTTAGTGCCAGTACATACAATAGTTGGGGAGGTAAAGAATGTCTTATAATTGTTGCAGATTGCATAGGTATTTAAAAGCAAAAGAGTGATTAACATTTTAACTTGATATTTTTTGGTGGGGGAGGTACAGTTAAATAGAGGGTGGAAAGGTTGGGTAATGTGGAATTTAGGAGTATAATTTTAAAAGCCATTTAGTGCAATTGAATGCTAGCTTTCTAAAAGATTTGTGTCGTTAAAAGGAATTTTTTTCTTCCCTGCTTCAATATGGCGACTTTCCTTGTCCTTTTGTCTTCCAAGCGGCGTTGCAGGTTGTGTCTTGACCCATTTTTTTTTCCTGTCCTCCCACCTCAACCCTATTTGTTGAGAGGGGTCCAAGTCCTTCCTCCCCCTTTCCCTCTATAGGGAGGATGGGGGTGGTCGATGGTAGCCGGTTGAACCTCCGTTGCAAATTCAGTTCTTCCCTGCAGAAAATTGTTCTAATATTTTGATTGCTTTAATTTTCACTACGCTCTTACTGATCAAAATAGGTCAAAGATTATTCACGATGGGGAACTGGCTTTTGGCTTTTTTACTAAAAAGGTGTTTTTATAATGTAACTGAAGCTACCGGCAGAGCTGGGTGGCTTTTTAAAGTTCGAGTCCTCTTTCTCCATTACAAAATGGCGTCCCTCCGTCTTTGTTGTTTTTCTTCCCCTTTTGCCATCCTGAGCTTAGGGCCGCCCTAGAAACTTGGTCAAGGGGGAGGAGCAGCCTTGAAAGGTGATGTAATCAGCTTTCTTCCTCTTTTCTCCACCCTCTTGAAGCTCCACCCCTGAGCAGATGCCTTTGCACTCCCTGTGCTCGTGGCTGCTAGGGAGAAGACATTTTCCTAATTTTCATTATATAAAATACCTTAAAGGGATGAGAGCTTATAGGAATTAAGTATTAAGGCTGTCCATCTCCTTGGGTAGTTCTAGTTTTTATAGAACCAGTTTTTATTTTCACTTTCACTCATCACAACTGCTTGTAATTTTTCCCCACTTCAGCTGCCAGGGGTGAAAAAACAGGCAAACCCAAGACTGGGAAGCTTTGAGGATGTGTGTGAGCGTGTGTGTATGTATATATGTGTGTAGAGGGAGATGGGAAAGACACAAGGGCTTGCGAGAGTACCTTCGAGATAAACGGGCCTGATGACACTGAAATGTGCCATTTCTGCTCAGGAACCAGTCTTTGGGCCTCCTGCATTTGGTCGCTTTGTGTAATGAGAATCGGGGGAAGGTGGATACTTCTAGGACTTTCTTCTAAATCGCCCTCATTCCCACCTCTCAGTTTGGGGATAAACTGTATTCAGTGCTGTATCACGTTCTGCACTTGCTTAGTTCCTGTACATTGGTACTAGGATAAGAAGTGAATCTTTAGGAAAGGAGGCGGCAGTTGTAAACTCAAGGCAGGGGGAATCAAGCTACGGTTTCTGGTAAGCAAAACCTTTCTGGTATTACATTTCACAACTTTCATTTTTTTTTTTCCCCAAAGAGCCACCTTTTTTGAATTTCTTTTTCCTTCCCTTCTAAAAGAAATTCCTTGAAAGCATTAATGAAAAAATGATGTCCTCTTCATTTTTCAACTCATGCAGTGCTGTGGCAGTTGGTGCATGTTCAGAAGCCATGCCCTATCTGAGGGTGGTATTGTGTGTCTGGTTCCTTTCTTCCCCCAACTTTTTCAAAGCCAAATCTTTATCAGACTCTCCATATAATTTTAATTTTTAAAAGTCCTGCACTGAAGCGTGGAGGTTCTAGGCAGAATTGGAAAGCACAACTGCCCTGTGGTGACGTGGGTGAGACTTAGGGCTAATTTTCTGCTGGGTACAGATTCTCAAATTATTACTTAAACTTCTGGATTGGATGGGAGGGACTCTTCCACATGTCTATTGACCACAAGTTTTTTTTGTTTTGTTTTGTTGTTTTTTTTTCTTTTAAGCAGTTTGCCATGTGCCTCTGCAGCATATCTTCCTTGGGAGCTGAACATTCTACCCACTGGGGTTCCTGATATCTAGTGAGCCAGGGGATTAATAAAGAAGATCTTCCTTAACATGGGAGATGGGAAGCAAGGTCTACTAGGGGAACCACATCCATTCAGAGAATCTTGGAAAAGCTGATCCTTGTAGTTTGTGGCCAGAGTTCCAGTCTGGGGTCTTTTTCTATGAGTTGGGGTGGTGTATCATTTTGCATCTTTATTGAAAGGCAGATAAGCTTTTGAGGAGCTCATGTATCAGGTTTGCAAAATGACTTTGAGGGGTAGGGGCTTACTACTTGGAAGCAAGCTATGACCTTGTGATGAATCACCTGAGAGACATAATTCAGTCCACTATTGAGTCAAACTAGGAAATGCCTAAAACACTGAAGAAAGGAAGGGGAACATGAGTTAGGTACAAATCATTTTCATTTCCAGAAGTGCCGCTAAATTAAGGTAAATTTGGGAGTTTTTTCTCCTTTTGTTAGAAGACAGTTATTTTTTAAAGAACTCTGACTTGCACAGAATTTTTATCCTGAACCAATTCAGTCCTGTTCATTGGTGATGGATGTGGAATAACTTTAGCTATGCTGGATATTTTTTCACCCTATTTAATTGAATAGCCCTCAAGTAAAATTCATTTTGAAGGCAGGAGTTGGTGTCACAGACGTTTATCTCTGGTAAAAGTGGTAGAAAATTCCCCAGTGCCTTGTGCCAGTAGAGTATGGCTCTGCCTGAAACATCTCCATAAGGAAAGCATAGCTTAGGATGAGGTGGACGTAGGCCAGGGGGTTGCTCCCTCACTCCCCACCTTCTGTATGTTCTGCAGTCAAGGAAATAGCAGCTCATTAAAAAAAGACATAATCATGCCCTGGATTATTCGTGGTTCCAGAAAGCTTTCTCAAGCTTTCATTCTAGACTCCAGATCCTGAGTAGGTAATGTTACAACACTTAGTCACAGCCCCTGCCTTCCTTCAACAACTCAGTTTGCCTTCTCAGCTGTAGCCCTGTGCCCGGAATGTTGGACTTTACATTCCTTCCCACTTCAGTGCCTTGGAACTTGTTTGGTTTTTTCCCAAAATATACTGACTTCCAAGTAAGGAAACTAGGTTATAAGACACTTGGGGTCCTTAATTTTAAATAAGAATGAATCTGCCTAAAGGAAGGCCATCATGAGAAAACCCACTTATATTTTATCAAGATTGGTGCTAATGAGACAAAATTTCACTTATATTTCCAAAATATAAGTAGTGGAAAATGAATGTTTAACACTAATTTTGCTTTGTCTCTTAGCTTCCCTTTGACTATTAATGTTTTTTATTCTTGTTTATACAAATGGGAATAAAAAAGTCCTTGGATCCCATTCCCAGCAGAGGGCTCTGGACAGAATTTAGCTTTGTACTCATTGGTCCATTTTTCTAAGACTGGCTCTTGTGTCTTGTCTCCCATCCTCTGAAGGAACACTTGAGCTCAGATGACAGTTTATTTAGTGTCTGAAGGAAATAGAGGTAGCT